CAGAATACAGCGGCCTCTCACTTTGAGGGTTGGACGGGCCCTACTAACATCAGTCATGTTTAGTTTCTTTTGTGTTAACATTTTAATTTCTTATTGAGTTCATCTTCTTCCCCTGTTTTATTCATCCATAAATTTTTAAGTGCACATATATAATCATTATATTTTTATGGTATGGGGCGCGTTTTATAGGAACCCCCTTGAGAGGATGCAGTATTATGGTGTATGGAGGATTGATTAGTGACGGACGAGTTTTGTGGTGAATGGACAAATTGTAATGAGTGAAGGCATAAGATAATTAGTGACGACCAACCTCAGTCCCTCACTATTTCGGCCTTGTGCCATAATTGTGTATTTTTACGCAATAAATAACGAGGAGGTGAGAGTGAGATGACGCAAGCACATCCAACCTTCCAATTAGTGGCACTCACTTCTAGATTGACCTGTATGTATAACTGTACAGGAATTTCATATTGTACTGGTTGTGTACAATAAACCTTTCTTCTATTATCCATCTGGTGTTAAGTATTTATTCCCTTAGCACGGAATATAACATTATGATTGATTGGTGAGTTCGATCCTCCTTGGGTTCGCCATACTTTCAGTTTTGTGCCACATCTAAACGATGCTAAGCAAATCACCAAAGAAAACAGTTAAATAGCCAGATATGTATGTATATAGTGAAGTATTTACATAGTCTTATATATTCTAATTGGTGTTTAATTCCGTATAAAATAGTATTTCAAAAATTATTTAAAAGCGTGTCAAATGCTAAGTCTACTTTTACGAAAGTTATTTGATGATTTCCATGCTCGAAATTTTCTCTCACCAGAATCTATTTTACACCAATATAGGTTTTCTATTCCTCTCTGCATTTGTATTGATGTCACATCAGTTCTGGTGCTTCTGATATATATATATATATATATATATATATATATATATATATATATATATATATATATATATATATATATATCTGCATACATATCTGTATACTTTATTGTCGAAATCCAAAGACGAATCTACAATCGTATCAGTCCTGACCTGTCATCTAGAGTTCAATACCTTTAACCCCACCATAACGTAGCTTCCTTGTCTTTTTTTTTCTATATTTTCATGGCAGTTGTTCTGATGAACTTTCCTTTGTGTAAATCTAAGCATAGGACCAGATTGGCAGTTAGGTCTCATTATTTTACTATTGAAATTGCTAGATGTATGTTCCATACTAATAACTTTTTCTCTTGCACTGTTCGCACGTGAAACTCTCTTCCAACTCCTTAATTTACAGTCAACAACGATCTTCGAAAATTTAAATGCATAATCAGTCGTCATCTTATGGCTCGGTGAAATCTTTTCTCTTATACTCGTTTTCTTTTCACTTTCATTAAGCACTTGTGTCTTAGTGGCTTTATTGTCTTTCTTTTGGCGAAATGGTTAATAAACAAACTCGAAATTTTTCCAGAAATTAAAACTGAAACAAGTAAAACAGAAAGAAAATCAAAAAAGAAAATCGGGAAAGGAGAAAGAAGAAATAAATCGATCCAATGAAAATCTGGTCTGTTCGGTGGCTGAAATAATTAGGACACTACTTGTCTAATATACAGTACGAGGCAACACATGGACGCACCCATGGACAGTCGATTTCTGTATTTTTACTAGGACAAGTGAGTAATAGAATTCGTTTATTAATACAGGACATTAATACAGGTGTACGTTGTACAAGTCATAAAATGATTTAGTAATAATACTACCTTAAAGTATAAATGTTATCTAGAAAGGAACGGCGACGAGGATAAATTGCAACTCTTCCAGTGGCCAAGCCTGAGCCTTGACGTTAACCCAACTGAAAACCTTTTGGCGATAATGAACAAGCGTGCCCGTAATAGGAAAGTTAACACAGAAGATGGTCTTTTTTCGCGAATTAAAGGAATGATGGAAAAATCTAGCGAAGGACGTTGACATATTAAAGAATTCAGTCTATAGCATTCCACGAAGAATTAAGGCGGTTATTAAAGCCAAAGTTTACCAAATAAAACAGTAAATCATTTTTTGGCTTGTACAATGTAAATATATACACCTATATTAATACCGTGTATTAATAAACGAATTCTCTTACCCACTTGTCTTGGTAAATATACAAAAATCGACTTTCTATGGGTGCGTCCATTTCTGTTTGTCTTGTAATGTGCGTTAGGTTTATGCTCTGAAATTTGTAGACAAATGCAACAATTATTATGGAAATAAATAACATTTCCTGCATGAGAAAATATCAGTTTTCAAAAACCGGTGAAAAGGCAGTTTCCTGAACGCTCATTTTGCAAGAAGGCATTCTGCGCTTTTAAGATATATTTGGTGAATGGTAGGGATAATCTTAAGTATTTACATTATTCAGACTATTGTCCCCATGTTAGTCACCATATTAATTACAATGTTTCGGCCGTTCTAGGCTCCGGCCTTCTTCAGGTGGTTGGGATGTCGAACTGAACCCCTTATTTCGCTCACTGGGGTAGACTGTTCCAGTTTCACGTCCCATGTTCAATGGATGTCAGTTCTCAACTATCTCCTGCTAACTTCCATCTGAAAGTTCTCCACTGTCCCAACCGGGCATTGAACTCACACACTTTGGGGCCTGACACTGGATCTAACTAACGCCTTTATCCACTGTGCCGTGTGTCCTCAAGGACACACGGGACAGTGAGCGAAATAAAGGGTTCAGTTCGACATTCCAACCACCTGAAGAAGGCCGGAGCGTAAAACAGCTGAAATGTTGTAATAAATATGGCGACAAAGATGAGGACAAGAGTAAATAATGTACATAATACCCCATCTCAGAAATATAGAGGGATAGTCTTCTTTTCTACGTTTCAATTGCTTTCTACTTTGCTGTCTGTCGTATATTCTACTTTAAGGATAGTTAGATATTGATTTGGAAGCGACCATATTTTTTTCCCCATAGAACTACTAGACTATAAAAGAAATGGTTGAACCTCACTTATTGGCAGTAGTTAAATTGTGTAGTCAGTTTCTTCTAGTCTTTAATAAGGTTTCTCTAATTTCTTTCTTCCAATCTTCAAAGTAGCAGTAAGTCAAATAATCCAGCGACACGTATCTATTTACTACCCAACTCGCACCTTCTCTATATTTATTGTATATTAAAATACAATTGTGGCACGTGGCCGAAAAGGGGGAGAGGGTTGAGGCTGGTCATCACTAGATATCTTATACCTTGCTAACCCGATTCACGAAACCATTCACTCCGTGTAATTTTCACAATCACCATAAGAATCGTCCATCACCAATCAATCCTCCATACACCATAATACCGCATCCTCTCAACGGAGACCTACAAAATGCGCCTCATATAAAAATTTGATGATTATAAAATTTATAAATGACTAAAATGAGAGTATTCTGCCTATTGGACAAAATGAAGAGGTTCTCTTGATAAGGGCGTGGGAAAGAAGAAAATATATACGGACATGGGAAATATAAAAGCTCTCCCAGTCGAGATCAAAAAGGGGGCCAAAACAAACTGGGGAGGTTGGGAATCTCAAATTCGATCATAACTAAAGATGCAACAGGGAGCAGCCCAGGAACAACACTTACACACATTAACTAGGTACACAAGGCTTGTCTAACCTAACCAAGGGGTGGGCTCCACAGGAAATCACCCCGATGTAACGTAGGTTGACCTAAAAGAGGAAATCATGGCTAGCCACGTTCACACGAACCAAGCTCGCCTCAGTCACATTCTCTGTTGGCTCTTAAAGTAAAATTTTAGAGATTGAGCGACAGATCAAATTTGCATAGGTAGAAAGAGATTCTAGCGAAAGTGTCAGACTCCAAGATGCATCTTTTTAAATATACTATTCGTATTTTCTTTTCAGAAATATTTTACCCGCCAGACACGTCCTTCAGAGAAGCTGGTAAGCCATTTTTTCTCGTCTTACAAACGGCATTGAATGAAATATCATTAAAAGCTTAAAGTTCGTCTGGTTTTCTTAATAGATATACATACAGCTAAGCAGATAGATACCCATGATTTTTTTTTGTTTTTTGTTAGTTGTTTTACAGTAAAGTTCACCCTGTACAAGTCCTGCGGGTCACTCGAGGTAGAGGATTACGGTAGGGGTAGTTTATAAGGACAGGAGGAAAAGATATAGCTTAAATCTAGACTTTTCGTCGATTGAATATGGAGGAAATGTGAGTGGTTTGTTATAATGTAAGTGGCATGGCGGATCCTAGCCGTGAATGTCAGACCTGGTGTAACCAGGAGATGCAGTTCATCCGAGCACTTTCCATGGTGAGAGAGAGAGAGAGAGAGAGAGAGAGAGAGAGAGAGAGAGAGAGAGCGTGAGAGAGAGAGAGAGAGAGCGAGAGAGAGAGAGATGGGATTTCTTTTCCGACAAGGACTCGGTGACGCTTTTGAACTCTATCAAGACTGTGATTGGAGTATTTACATAGTCTTGCTTAGGTCAGAATTTGTTGTCTAATTCGATGTTGAACTTGTTATGCGTAATCAAAAGTGGTCGCCCTTTTTTTGTTACTCTCCTCTTTGAGAGAGCTATTTATATTTACTTGGATTCTAAAATGACACTATACACAAACCTTGTATTCTTAGTTGAATAAAACTTTCTTAAAGCCTTCACCTGCGTACTTTTGCCCTTACAGAACTATCAGCCGACTGTTTATTACATATGGCGTTTTTAATTTTTTTTTTCCCATTTCTAAGATCTCTGTTTTTTGTTGCGTTTAGCGGCATATCAATCTCTTATTCAATGACGAAATCAAAATATTTTGTACTCAATTTCATTTTATTTTAGGAGATAATAATGATTTTACTGATTAAAGTCTTACTATCTAGCCTATAACTAGGTTCGTACCTTTCCCAATAATATTTACATGCAATAGATTATAAATAATCCATCGGCAATTGAAAGTCAGCTCTCCGATTAACATCCCCGAGTCATTATCCATTATAACACCTCCACATCCAATCTTACAGAACCTGGTATTCCCAAGCGGTCATCTATCTAGGTAGTGACAAGTCTCAATATTGCTTAACTTCGGTGATCGTACAGGAACTGGTATTTCGATGTGATGCGGCCGTATGTTCTTCCATATTGGTCTTTTATTAGAATAATATAAGCTACAAAACCAAGAGAGTAATCTATTTTCAGTACTAGGGCATAGTAATAGTGAACATATTTTTGTGAAACATTTAATTTTATTGTTCCACTATATTTTAAGAGATATTTTTTTCATACCTGATGAGCATTAAGTGTTGAGAATGTTCCATAATGCAAGTATCTTGGATTGCAAAATAACATAGAGTACCACATATATTTATGTTATAACTGATATACAAGTAATCAACATATTAGCAAAGATTTGAATATTACATCAGTGAGGTGACCACCAACACGAAGATAACATGAATGAGCTCAAACATAGTTTGCTGTGCTTGTCTCAGAGAAGTTTGTAACAGCACGTAGAATCATCTTTCAGGATGGTGCTTTCCCGAATGATGTCTCAATTTCCTTTGGGCTGCAATGAAGGATCTTTGGCTGATAAAGTATGCTTCCACTACGGATGAAATATCTTTTGAAGCCCACAATCCGCCGACAGTAAATATGAGATATCCGTAGAAAATAACAAAATATAGATATGTTGAATTCTCATCTTATATCATTTATGTAATAAATATATTTGGTACCCTGTGTCATTTTTATAATCCAAGAATTAAAATATGCCCCATGACTGTTCGGCACCTTCTATTTTAACACGGTGTATAAGCGCATATTGTATGTAAGCCTTTTCCGTTTATATAATCGATAAACTAATCAGAATTAGAGCTCATCTGGAATAAATAGGATATATTTCACACGTGGAACAATCGGGTCGAAGATTAATTTTCTTGACATTATAAAAAAAATTCCTCCCCTTCAAACGACTGTTATATTGAACAATGAGTTTCAGCAATCAGATTTTTTTTCAATTGCATTGCAAGAAAAATTAACACTGAAGATGAGCTATTTTGCAAAGAAAAGGGATGCTGGAAAAATATGGCGAAGAAAGTTGACTTTCTAAAGAATTTCGTCTATAGCATGCCAGGAAGAATCAAGGCCATTATTAAAGCAAAAGGTTACACAAGAAAATACTAAATCATTTTTGACTTGTGTAATGTACATGTATACATCTGTATTAATACCCTGTATTAATGGACGAATTCTATTACTCACTTGTCTTGGTAAATATACAAAATCGACTTTCTATCGGTGCGTCCATCTTTTTTTTTCTCTCATGATATATATATATATATATATATATATATATATATATATATATATATATATATATATATATATATATATATATATATATATATATATATTTCGAATCTCAACATGGTCGATTGGTCAGGAAGTAGACTTTCTGAAGTCATCGAACTGGATCGAGGTCGATCCCAGCGTGCGCCATCTTTTGAAAGCGCGTGATAACCATACCACGGGTTGACCTAAGCCTTGTGAGTGAAATTGGTTAGACAGAACTCTTGGGGTCCGTGGTTAGCGGTACTATCACGAACCCACAAGTCATCGTGGCCGAGAGACGGAATTTAATTTAATTTCTATAAATGAAATTGAAACATTATGTAGCCATGCAATTTAAAAAAAAAAAAAAAGTAATTACAATATATATATATGTGTGTGTGTTTGTGTTTTTGCATGTGTGTGAGTGTGTGCGTGTGTGCGTTATTGTATGTATGTATGCATGTATGTATGTATGTATATGGGCCCGGAAACAATAGAATATGTTTCACACGTGGAACAATCGGGACGAAGATTAATTTTCTCGACATTATAAAAACAATCCTCCTCTTCAAACGATTGTTATATTGAACAATGAGTTTCTGCAATCAGATCGATTTTTTTCTTTTGCATTTCAAGTAAATTCCTGCGATTTCAACTTCTCAATGCTGTATATTTTTTGACATTGAGAGTAATGCTTCTCTGTCAAACAGATATCATCTGAAAAATTAATTCTCGTCGCATCACCATATTTCAACCCCCTGCCTAATTAACAATATTGTAATAATCAAACAGGAATTGAAGTTATAAGGGTTTTTTTCTAATGCTTACAGTACCCGTTGGAGTTCGGCAGTTTGCTGCCGGGCTCGGGACTGATTTGTCGAACACTCTGCAGAAGAGTAACCCAGATGAGGCTATGCCTACAAACAGAGTCTCGTCTGAGGAGGGAAACAAAACCACCTCGTGTATGCGGGGTCTACGGGAATTTTTTTGCCCGAGCCTACGGGCTCGGAAACGCCCTATATATATAATTGGCCTTGTGCTACATCCTGTCTTTAGGGGGGGGGTAAATACCAGTAATCAGTGTATACTGGCGGTGTCACATCTCAGTATTGAACTCAAATGATCAAAAGAGAATAGTGTTTTCAGTGTTATTTGAACGTAAACATAATTTTAAGAAATAAATTACAAGTCGATAATAATTTTAGAATATTGGCAAAAATGTTCGAAATCACCTAAATGTTCTTCTGTTTTTTTTTAGTAAATGAAAGCAAAATAAAGTTCAAAGGATATATTGGTGTGTTTTTTTTTTCTGTCATATGACCAGCCTGCCAGTTAATGTTGCTTCGGATAAAAGAGTATTACAATCACTTTATTTTTCAATTATACTTGTTACTGTTCTTTTTTTTTTATTTCCTATTGTCTATTACTATCGTGAAACAGACAATAATATTCACAAATAGCGAAAGCCAATGAAACGACCTTGACTGCAAGTTGACGTTTTTTAGCACAACCAAGTACAAGACTGTCGTCTTATCTTCCTGTGCATTTTAGAATTATTTTATGTCCTTTTCCTAACAGAAATATATTCACTGTCTTTACACTTTCCTAGAAAATCAACATTATATGAGACACACACCTCTAACACAACACACACACACATACATACATATATATATATATATATATATATATATATATATATATATATATAAAAAGAAATATAGTTTTAAGGTGTGCTTTAATTATGGGATAAAGTGCTCAATACCGAGAATATAAATATAAAAAGCCTATATAAATATAAAAGTGACCTGACTATTGCGTCTAGCATGAAACAGCCTGTCGCCTCTGAGTGTTAACTTCAATGTTCACTTATATATATATATATATATATATATATATATATATATATATATATATATTTCAGTAGTATGTTTCCATTAAGTAATTTTTCTTTGTACAGTTTTGACATATTCTGTCAATTTATTTTCCTTAAGATCTTTTCATACTCACGGATAAGTTATTTTATGAAAAGTCGAGAGAAAATCGCCGTGTTTATACACAGTTGTTTTGTTACAAAGTACTTTCGACATATCCATGTCATCATCCGGGTAATGTTTATAATAAAATGAATATTATAGTATCCATTATGGTCAGAGACAAATTGTCGTGTTACCTGAAAGTTAAATGATTTACAAATCGAGTGAGGAAAGCTACGTCAATGCATGACCGCTAAAACTGTTCTGAAAGTCAAATATCTTACATATGGAGTGAGGAACGCTGAGTCAGTGCGTGACATCTGAAACAGTTTAAAGGACGGTAACTCAGTATGGGTTGGAGAGTTTTTTTTACGGCATGTGTTGTAAAAAGAGAAACTATTATTGTAAACCTATGCATTTCAACCTATTTATTGTACACATTTTAAAATATTTGTGGAGAATTCATGATTAATTTTATTAAAAGAAGAAAGTACCATGAATACATTGCGTGCCAAATTATTATCAAGATAACTTTTTTTATAATATATCAAAAACCGTCCAATCAATTCACATAAAATTTTCACAGAATGTTGGCAACACTGACCTGCGCAATCACCCATTCTTTCATTCTTTGTGGCCTCTTGTTTAAGTCGTGACATGAGACGAAGTGAAATAACCCTCGGCTTGCCTTTATCTGCCCTTTTGCGTACTTGTGTAGGGTCGGCGGTGAACTTTTTCGCTGTTTGATGACACCTCCCTATCATTTTATAAATTTCTAGGGTTGATTTACCTTTTGAGAGTTCTGAGGTGATAGTTTTCTTTTCAGCATCACTTAAACTGCTTTTATGGCCCATCTTTTTACTAAATTCTTACACTTTTCTAATAATTTGGCACGCGCAAGTCACCGTACTGATAACAAATATGGCGCCAGTTTGTTTACATTGCACAGATCAGGTCGAAAGGTTCAGTGATTGCGCAGGTCAGTGTTGCTAACATTGTGTGAACATTTTGTGTGAATTGATTGGACGGTTTTTGAAATATTAGAAAAAAGTTATCTCGATAATAATTTGGCACGCAGTGTAGACCGAATAGCCAATCTTTAGATACAAAAGCTATCTAACACCCACCAAGGCCACCCACGAACTTACAATGATATAATAAACACAGACAAGTAGCCCACGTGGGGTGTAACATACCTACTCCCAAAAACAGAAGAGACGAAGAACCCAAAAAACTATTGGCCCAACACCTGCCTACAAACAATGTACAAGATCCTCTCTAATATAATAACGAGAGGACATACCTTGAGGAAAAACAATTTACTCAAAGCAGAACAAAAGGGGTGTAAAAGAGTTATAGACACAGGGAGCAACTAATTATCAATAACATAATATTGGGAGAGGTGAAACAAGGAAAAGAATCTTATCGATAGCATGGATCTACTACAGAAAGGCTTTAGACAGTGTACCACGGTCATGGATAGAGAAGGGCCTAAAAATATACAGAGTATGCCCAACAGCAATCAGATTCATAATCGACAGTATGAAAAACTGAAAGAAAACATTAAACTTAAACCATACAAACGGGTCATTAACATCGAGTCCTATCAACATCAAAAACGGGATATCTCAAGGAGATTCACTGTCACCACTACTCTTCCGCATTGCATTAGCGCCAATCAGCTGCCTACTGAACAACAGTAGATACGGATACAAGTCACAAAATGGCAAACTGAATCACCAATTCTATATTGATGATGTTAAAACGTTTGCTAAGGATGACAACTAGCAGAAAAATCTACTCACCATTGTCAAAACCTTCAT